GTGATGTATGGAAGTGAGAGCTGGACCATAAAGAAAGCAGACCGCCGAAGAATTGATGCCTTTGAACTGTGGTGCTGGAGGAGGCTCTTGTGAGTCCCCTGGACTGCAAGGAGAACAAACCTATCAATTCTAAAGGAAATCAACCCTGAGTGCTCACTGGAAGGACAGATCCTGAAGCTGAGGCTCCAGTACTTTGGCCATCTCATGAGAAGAGAAGACTCCTTGGAAAAGCCCCTGATGTTAGGAAAGTGTGACGGCAAGAGGAGAAGGGGACGACAGAGGATGAGATGGCTTGACAGTGTCTGCGAAGCAACCAACATGAAATTGACAGAACTCCGGGAGGCAGTGGAAGACAGGAGGGCCTGGCGTGCTCTGGTCCATGGGGTCATGGGTAGTCGGACACGACTAAATGACTAAACAACGACAACAACGGCAATTGTTAGTTACTGATCTGTTCTATTGGCTGCTAAATATGTGTCCAGTAAAGAAAGCAACATACACAAGTCTGTACCTCCAAGTAACTGTAAATAAATAATTTTTAAAATGCTTTCTCCCACAAATGTCTCAGAGTGAGTTATTGAGACTTTAAATGCCAGTGAATGAGAAAAGGGTGGATTCTGGGGAACTTGAAACTGTTCTCCTCTGTGGATTTCTATTGCCTAGCGAAAAGGGAATTTTACCAGAAATTCAAAACTCTGCAAGAAATAGCACATTTCTGATTCACTCACAAAGGTCCTGAGGCTCCGATGGAATCCCTTTTCTTGTGGGGATGCTGCTGGGGGGCTGCAGGATGAAGGGAGGAGTTTTCAATTTCCAAAAATGATTGTTGCCATTAAATTCATTCCTACAACTGCAACATTAGAAATTAAAGACTTCCCCCATTTCATGGCCCTCAGTAGCTTCCTCAATATATGTGTGGCATCCTCCCAGGTCATGAATATTTATATGCTATCTGCATAGACCAATGGAAGTCCTGGAGGCACAGAGTCACAAGATATAAGAGACTCAGCAGCAGGAGGAGGAGGAGATAGTTGAGGAGATTGGGAGACTGGGAGAGAGTTTTGGAGTTTGGGCGAGAGAGTGGTGATTGAGAGTAGATGAAGGAGGACGTTTGTTAAGAATTAACAACATTGCTTGAACTATTATCATATGTAACAATAAACAATTTCTATTTGTTTCTTTTAAAATGACACATTGTCTGGACCTCTATTATTAAAATTAAATAATGTTGACGTAATCAACTGGTGGCAGCTGAAAGACACGTAGCATCAGCTCTTAGTTTGGTGAAACAATCAGGGGTCGTATGAGGATCGTGACAATAAGGGATTCCACAGGATCCTCAAGGTCTTTGGAGGTGGGAATAGGAAATTTTTTACTTCTGAAAAATTGCCACAGCTGATGACATCATTACTCTTAGTATAACTTACAGATGATGATTTCAGCCAAAGCCAGCTAAGTCTATGGCTAACCTAGAATTTGAACAGTTAAAAAAAAAATCGTATCTAACACTCTGCACACCAAAACAAAAATGCTAGAAAAATATGATTATGTTAGCTGGACCTGTGCCTATGAGCCAAAAAATATGATTATGTTAGCTGGACCTGTGAGCCATGATCTCCTCTTTCTAGATAATATCACCATTACACAATTTTTGAGCAAACTGCATAAACAATTTGGAGATGCAGTTTGTTGACCGTGGAGCCTTTCCACATGCTTGCACATTTCTTGACCTTAAACCTACTGCAAAATATATTTCTCATTGAATTTTTAAAGTAAAAAGTAACTTCTTACATCTTATCCTTATTTGACAGGATTCTTAGATAGCTACTGGAAGAGACAGGAGGCCTATAAATCAACCATTTTACTGAAAGAACAGATTTCATGAATCTTTATTGAAAAAGTAACGTTTTAAATTCCAATATTCTCCTTTACCTGACAGGATTCTTACAGAATTACTTGAAGATATGGGTTGCCCATATTTTAGCCACATTATTGACGGATGGGGAACTCCTGAGGCTTCACAAATCAGAGTGACAGGATTTTTCTCCAAAGTGCTGATATTTTCAGGCACAGACAGGTCTCCCACAAAACTTGGAGGGACTATTAAAAAAATTAAAACAAACAGAAACAAAGCACATAAGAAAACACTAGTCAGCTAATGAGCTATAGAAATCTACTTTAACAGAGAACTGTTAATAAAGAATAAAGAGAATATTTGCTTCAACTGAAATGCTTCAGGCCACATGTAGAATCTCTGCTCTGAACTGTAACACTGGAGCAGTAAGCTCCTTTTGCCAAACTGTGAAGGGGATATCTACATCTAATCCCTTCAAGTAATGCTGAGGGAAGAGAGAATAAACTGGAAAGATAAATTCAATATCAAAGGGCCTTTCACAGACAATAAAGCATACGCCTATATCAGACCACAGTCAATAAAACACATTAGTTTTGCACATTTTTCCTACTGTGCATTTTGAGTTGCTGGGAAAATGCTGTTTCATCCCCAACAAACACAGCAGTTGCTGCTATTTCCCATTACTTCTTGAAGCAGAAATGAAATTTGCACTCAGGTGGCAGAGAAGCCCCTATAATTCATACAATATTAAGAATTGCATTTTGATTTGTGTATTCTATGTTTATGTTTTAGATAAATAAAAACTAAAAAAAAAAAAGAAATGCTTCTGCAGTAACTGCTTTGCATTTAGTAGCTATAGAAGTGTCATGTGCTCCTGCTGGGCAATGCTGGGGTTTTATGCTCATGAGGCACACAAGATTTCCCACATTTTTAATACCTTCCAAAAAACCCCAAACAGGTATTTAAAATATTTTAAAAACAAAAACACTATGCACACAAGCAAGTAAAACCAGATCCACTGCTGAAGAGGGGTTGCCCTCCACATCCTCTCCTCCCCCACAGCACATCTCCTACCTTTCTTCTTTCCCATGGCACTCAAAAAGTTATGAGACTTTTGATATATTAAAACAAATACGAAGAAATGCCAAACTGGGTTACAAATATTGTAGTGTAATTTCAATTTAAGGCCTTCCATGAATGTGAGGCCCCAAGCCAAATGGCCCTCCTGGCCTCAGCCTCATGATAGGCTCTGCTATTTAGTTACTTGGTGCTATAAAAGGCAGTCCTATACCAATGTGTGTGTGTTTTTAAACCCAAGATTAATTAGTTGACTGTTTGCTGTGATCACTCACAAAGTGATTTAAATCCAATTCACTTCAATAGCATTTAGGAGACATGTGTAAGATTGCAGCCTAAGGAAAGCAACAGTCATCTTTTTAGGGAAATATTGCCAGCCCATTTCATCACTATTCTGTATATAGAGGCAGGAGGAACTATGAAACAAACATTTGTTTCATTTGCTTTGTAATACTTCTGAATGTCTTCCATAGATAGTAATCTATTGACATAAAGTTATTCCAAATGTTACTGCTTTAAATTTTCCTTAATTTTTTAAGCAACAAAACAATCCAATTGCCTTCCAGGGAAATGAAATTACTATGCTACGCCACAGTAGTTCAAGATACATACTTGATAAGAATAAAAGCACTTCACTTTTAGGAGGAAATCCACTTTCTTGAAAAGGAAGCTTGCGTTTTTAAGGAATTGAGGTGTTTTCTTTCACACAATATAACAGTAGAATTACAGAGCACACACCACGAAAAGAAGTAGCAAGAGAAATCCACTTTCTTGAAAAGGAAGCTTGCTTTTTTAAGGAAGTGAAGTGTTTATTTCACACAACATAACAGTAGAATTACAGAACACACACCACCAAAAGAAGTAGCAAGGTTCTGTGGCAAAAGCTACATATTAGATGTGTCCCATGGTAGGTTTTGTACCTTGCTTTAACAACTATATACCTCTTACATAGTCCTTCTCATATCTCTTGCTCATAAAGCCATATGTTTCCTCTAGTGCCACAAATCTGTCTGAGAAATTATCTGCCTTATTCCCCCTTAGAGAAAGAGAATAGAATGGAATTGTGGCCTGGCTCATTTGAAATCAAACATCCACCTTTATGTAAGTCTTCTGTGGCAGACAGTTTCCTTGCTCACCATGAACACTTAAGTCATATTTCCTGTCGGCCAGTCCTGCCACATTCACAGCAACGCACACATAGCGGCCCGTGTCGGACACCTGAGTGTTTTTAAGTTGAAGACGGCGTCCTTCATTCAGTATTTCAGCTCCCCTCCTGTTGACTAACAGCTGACCATCCTTCATCCAGGTGACAGTTGGCTGTGGAATACCTTCTGCCTTGCAGTCTAATGAAATATCATTCCCCCGGGTCACAGTCACATCCGATTGTTGGCTCTCACCATCCAATATAGTAGGATGAACTATTTAGAGAAACAAAACAACATTCTAAAGTTTAGAATCATGTTATAACATTATAATATCATACATATCTCTTTCATTGTACAGTACATTAATATAATTAGTTCCAGGGATACGTGCGTGGAGTGACTGGTATTGTGGACTGATTGACAGGAAATGTCCTTTTGTGTATGGGTAAAGATTGGCTGAGAAATTAGAGGAGGATGTACTGACTGGAACGCTGTGTGGTAGGTAAGAATTATAGACACAGACAGTGACAAAAACAGTTCAGAAAGATTATGTTATGAGTTGAGGGGAAAGCATATCTAACGGTTTAGTACACAGATCTGTAGTAGAATAACATTAACCCTGTACAACCAGTAACCAAATGCTTATGGCAATAGTTTAGTGAGGTTAAACCTCCAGAACATGGCCGAATAGCCTGAAAACCCACAGCAACCACTAAAATATTCTTTGCTGGCATTTCATGAAAGACAGATAAAACCTGTTAGTCACTAAGGTGTCAAATAAAACATTTGCTGATTCTGATGCAGCAGACAACTGACTAACCTTTCTGGAGATTTATGCAACAACTGTCTTCTAAGCAACAAACACGACAGTTAATTTTGTACAATGACTTACCATACACTAGCAAACTATATTCCTTCTTTGCCATTCCAGCTACATTAGAAGCCATGCACATATAGGATGCTGTATCTGATTTTTCAGCAATAGAAATTTGCAGCTGTCGTCCTCCAGATAACACTCGGATCCTGCCAGTAGGGTCAACCAGAAGGGGAGCCCCTGCAAAAGAAATACTTTACTGGCTCATATTAAAAGAGGAACACAAAACATAGCGTACAATATAGCACATACTACAGGGCTAATTGCAACAAACATTCCTGCAGTTGTCTGTCACTTACTCTGTGGTGGACATAAGATTTCAAACTTCCATGTATTTATATGTTGGGTGTGTGTGAGGTTATAGCTTTTTCAAAGGCAAAGTTTTAAAAATTACAAATACAAAATCCCATGGATCTACCTGTCTCTGATTCCACAGGTTTAAGTCAGACTACGATGACTAAGCTGTCACCAGATTTCATGTATTTATGTCCAAAATACAAATTGATCTGAACCAAATCAAGCCCAAATGCAAATCACTACAATGGGCACAAATTGAATTGGCAGTGGGGATGAATGTTACATGAATGACTCCTTTGCTCCAATCATGCAGCCACAGGTGGTGTGGCAAGATACACATTCAGATAAATGCTACAGTGCTTCCCTCTCCCCCTCCCCCCCAGCAACATGATCCCTTTCATTATGCAAGACTGTAGAATTCAGCATGCAAAGGAAACTGTTGCTAATATGCCAGAGATAATCACAACAAACACATTTCTCCTTTTAACCTATTACTAGAAACACACTGCTTTCAAGAGAGCACTCCTTCTCCAAATGGATTTCTCTAACCATATATGTTGACCTTGAATTAGGCTATTTGAAAGCACCTTCTGTTAAAGCAAAGGATTCCTTAGAATCAAACATATGTTTTCAAATCTAGGCTATAGGAACCAAATTTCTGCTTATGAGGTCAGATGGCACATTGTTTGATTCACAAGAGAACTTTTCCAAAAAGAGGTCACTCACCATTCTTTCTCCAGCTGAGGGCTGGTGGTGGAATGCCACTGGACTCACATATCATACTGATAAGGTTTCCTTCTATTACAGTCAACTGAGTATGTACATCAGAACTGTAAATACTTGGAGGCACTAGAGTGGGAAATATCAAAATAATGCTTAACCATAAATATAATAAAATTTGTTAACATTAGCACACAAAGAATCCAGTAGAATAAAAATCCTTCACAGAAGATTCTTGCAGGGTTTGAGTTCCTCACAGTTTAATGTGATAAACATGGCAGAGGTATATATTAGTTTATTCAAAATATTTTAGCAACAAAACATTTCCATTTGACCCTCTAACATTTTTCTCTGTACTTTTAAAAAGTACACAGATAACATATGTTGTAGAGTTGGCAGCAATTATAATATATAGTGGTGCATTTCAACAGTTTAAACCTTATATTTCAGTCTTCCATGCCTAAAACTTGTAAACTGACTAAATTGTCCAAGAAGCAAAGCCTTTTATACATATTGCTGAACAAAATCTCTGGTCCTCGTTCTGGAAACAGCTCTGGGGAATAGATTGATATAAAATCAGATAGATTTATTGGATTTACAACACAAAAGGCTTTCCATCAATGTTTCTGGCCCCAAGCATGCAAACAAATAATTTCTTTCTAAACAATTAGCCATAGATGATTTTCACAGGCAAATTCATGGTTCCCACTAAAACTGGGGAGAAAAAGCCACTATAAAATGCTTTCTGAAAGACAAAGATGAAAGAATGGAAAACTTTAGCCCTTTAGATATTTTGGACTTCATCTCCTATGTCCTTTAGCACTGGCCACACAGGCAGGGGCTTCTGGGAATTAAATATATTGGGGGCCCAAGGTTTACTACCCGTGACCTAGATACTCAACAAGTCAAGCTGGAATATCATCCTCAAGGATCAAGGAGGATATTAAAATACAGCATTGTCTACACTGGGTTTTCATAAGACCAAAGAAGCAACATGCAGATGAAGAGTGTATATCCTCATTGTTTAAATAGCAAATTGGTGGATAAATACTATACATGTTGTTGGACAATACAGTGGGGGTGGGTGGAGAGACCCTTTCCCCTTTGCCTATCATAAAATCACAGATTTTCAATAGCTGCAGTTCAGAAAAAAATGAAGTGCACATGTTTTCACTGAAATGAACTAAGGGAGCAACTAGATGAGCATTTTTCCTATGTTTTATGCTATGTTTCTCATTGTTTCTTTTGATATTTATCCTGTTGACCATACGTTACTGTTAATCACAAGTAGATCCAATCTTTTGGTATGAATGTGCAGTATATTTTATTCAATTGGAAAGGCTTGTGTTTTTTTTAACTCTCATTATTTTGACCTGCTTTTGGCTTCTGTGAGCACCTGTATTGGTCTTTTAGGGTGTGTCCAAATGACATCACTGATAATGGACAGGGTAAGGTGTGGTGTTGTAGAGTACCTTCCTAACTTTGCCTGCATTTTGCTCATACTGGTAAGGACTACAACTGCAATGCAATCTAGAAATTGTATTTAAAAAAAGTCCTCCCAGTTTAGCACTATAGTGCACTAATTCAAAAACTGTTTGGTCAGTTAAGTGTTATTTCATTTGCTAAACATTTAAAAAAAAGGGATTTGACGGGTGTAACAGCAGATGGTTGTAACAGCAGAGAGGGGAGCTGTGTGATATATGGATACATGAAGCATACCTTACCAGGATAATTAAACATTTCTATATGAACTACAACAACAATTAAAATGATAGGAAGCACTACAGAGAAGTTTGCATCAATGCAAGACAAACTTCCGTGTGGTGATTCCCTAAGTGTACGACACCTGGTTCACATTCAGTTTCACCATTTAGGATGCACTTGTGGGTGAAAATGACTGAAAACCTCAAGCTTATGCATTCTTCCCTATCACAGATAACTCTTTCACTAAATTTTTGCATCAACTCCATCTGCTATCAGAGGCAGAGAGAGAGAGAGAGAGAGAGAGAGAACAGACAGACAGATAGCAATAGGAACATGCTGCATTTATTTTTTCTTTCTGCTAGATTTCTCTTCATCATTCTTCCTCTTCCCTGCTGGCCTATATGTAGTGATCTGAAAATGTTTGTGGAAGAAGTTCCTCTTGAACATCTTCCCCTGGGCTTTTAATGAGGTGTGGGAAGCCAAGGAGGCTTCTAGCTGTCTGAGGTGACTGTGCAAAGTGAACGGACACTTCTCAGTCACTTCATAACATCAGTACAAGAATTCTGGTCTTTATGCCTTAGAATTTCCCTGAAGGTTTTCCTCCTCTGAAATTCTTTTTTGAAGGCAATTGAAAGATGATGAACAAAATTCTAATGGGAAAAATCTTCTGCACAATATTATTATGAAGAGATCATATGAACCAGGCCCATACGTGTAGGTCTGTATATGGACATATATTGTGATGAAGGGCAATGGAAAATGGATGTCTTCACCAAATTTCTGGGTTAGCTCAGTGGCAGATCCTAGCCATTTGAAAACCCAAATTTATTCAAATAGTGAAACTGGACATCAGCTACTGACAGCAGAGCTTCATCCTTCGGGTTAACTGGAACTTGCTTCAGCTCAATATGGTGAATGACATGAGGTCCGAATTCCAAGACAAAATTACTGGCACTCATTCTCCTGTCAGAAACATGAAGAACTGCCCTTCATACATTTTACCCTATATCCAGGAGACCACAAAATGAACTGCTTCTTCTTTTTTTAAGTAGCAGTTCTCAGGTTTTGAAGTAGCTAATAGGTCTATTTATTCAGTGAGGTTTCTTAAACATAGATTCCTTACATCAGTGGCAGCTGGTGCTTGTTGTAACTAATGGGGAGAGGAAAAGGCAGTCGGCAGTAGACAGGGCGAGACATTTTTGTATTCTTGAAGGCTTTTACAGCCGGGATCCAATGGTTGTTGTAGGTTTTTTGGGCTGTTTGGCAGTGTTCTTAAGGTTTTTCTTTCTAACGTTTCACCAGTCTCTATGGCTGGCATCTTCAGAGGACAGGAGTTAGAAGTTAGACAGACAGAGTTCTAACTCCTGTCCTCTGAAGATGCCAGCCATAGGTCAAATAGGTGACTGTAAAACACAAGGAGGAGAGCCACTGTCCTACAAACCCTGAAAGGTCAGCCTCTACTGCTTACATCCTTTTCATATTTATGCACTGAGGAATCAATTTTCATTTACTAAAACCTAAAGTCTTGTTCTTTAGGGTTGCCAGTCTTACCCCACACATTGACATTGTAGTTCTTCTCCCTTTTCCCAGCCGCATTTGTTGCTTCACAAGTGTACCGTCCTGTGTCTTTAGCTTCAACTCCTTCAATCTAGCAACAAACAAAGAAAGAATTCTTTTGGCCACCATTTATGTGTACATATTTGCATAATAATCTGCAAAGGCAATGAATAGTTACTGAGTGGTGTGACATATAAAGCTTTGTTCCCCTAACTAAATCAATACGAAGTACTACCTGTACCACCCAAAAATTTGATAAAGGGTGCTATGGTTCAATAGCTGAACAGAATTTCTTCTGATTCTACATTCCACCAAATTTTGCCTTAAGTAAACATGGGAGCTCCAACAGCGGAGTGGTTTAGAGACAGAGCCACAAATCATAAATTCTTATTCCTTTAAATGTCCTGTGGGTGCCATTTAAACATTCTCCTAGGCTCAGGGGTACGTTTTGTGGAAAAAGAGCACAACATCAGCCTGGACTGCCTAGAAAGGACAGTCAAGCACAGCATCCAGCCATGCTGCATTGGCATCTGATTAAGCCACTCCCAAGCCACTAGGGAACATTTAAAGGGCATCAGTTGATTTCCTTTCTCCAATTCACTGATAGTGAAAAACAGAAGACAGAAAATGCTCTGTTCACAAACAGGCAGGACATGGTTTTGCAGAGCAACTGGCTTACTGGTGGGAACTTATGAAACCTGGAACAATGAAATATCCATGAAAGGCTCAAAGAAAAGAACTTCAATAATAGACATGAAGCCTTAGTGTTCCTTGTGCAATTAGCATCAACAATCATAAAGATGAAAAGGATATGTGAGAGAAAGCTCAGACATTTTAAACTTACTCTCAGTACACTGCCATCTTCTGTAACGCTGTGGCCAAACTTCTTCAGGACTGGCCGGCCATCCTTCAACCATGATAGGGTGGGTGGTGGAATGGCACTGCTCTGACAGTGGAGCTCTAAATCTTCTCCCATAACTACAGAGACATTCTGTTCCTCTCCCATAATGTTAGGTGGAACTGAATGAATAAATGTTTTAAAAATTCACTTTTAACTCCTTGCACCGGAGAATGAAAAACGAAGAAACGGAAGACAAATTTTGTAAATTTTCCCTACAGAATCAACATGCTCATAATAAACTGTAGCCATATTCAGAGCTGACTATCTGAATATGCTGATTATTATAAACTGTAGCCATATTCAGAGCTGACTACTGAATATGCTGATTATCGTAAGAACATAAGAAGAGCCCTGCTGGATCAGGCCAAGAGCTCATCTAGTCCAGCTTCCTGTATCTCACAGGGGCCCCTCCAGATGCCTCTGGGACCACACAATACAACTAGATACGGGTCTCCTGATGCCCCTCCCCTGCATCTGACATTTTGAGGTACCTTCCTTTTAAGCCTGGAAATTATACATCCCCATCATGGCTTGTAACGTGTGATGAACTTTTCCTCCAGGAATCTGTCCAATCACCTTTTAAAGGGATCTAGGCCAGATGACATCACCACATCCTGTGGCAAGGGGTTCCACAGACTAACAACACTCTGGGTAAAGAAATATTTTCTTTTGTCTGTTCTCATTCTCCCAACACTCAATTGGAGTGGATGTCCCCTGGTTCTGGTACTGCGTGAGAGGAAAAAGAGCTTCCCTCTATCCACTTTATCCACCCCCTGCATAATTTTATATGCCTCAATCATGTGTCCCCTCAGGCAACTTTTCTCTAGACTAAAAAGCCAAACGCTTTAGCCTTTCCTCATAAGGGAGGTTCCCCAGCCCAGTCATCATTTTAGTCCCTTTCTTCTGCACCTTTTCTAGTTCCACTTTGTCTTTTTGAGGTGTGGTGACCAGAAATGTATGCAATACTCCAGGTGTGGCCTTACCAGCATAATGTATTGGTGTCATTTAAGTAAGGCAGTATTAGATTTCATGTATTGAATTCAAATTGTTGCAGATGAATTAATCAGAGATGATAATTAAACCATATTTTGACATTATTCTTTTAGTGCTCTTCTTAATTTATTTTTGCTATTAACAGTTCGTGGTATGTACCACAGTGTGCTCCTGGTCATGTTTCTGAAGAAGAAAGCCTATCCATCATCTGATTCAAATTAGGCTTTCTGCAAACTGTGATTTGTATTAATTGGTCAGATTTTACATTATAGTTCACAACTGCTTGTGCTACATCACCTCTCACTATCAGACCCACCCCATTTCTTCTCAGTTTATCATTTCCAGAGTAAAACACTTTATAATCATGTGATGAAAAATATCCTACTCCTTTAGTTCATTTACATCATGTATTATGATATTGACACACCCCTTTTCTTGTTTTACAATTTTGAGCATGCAGCAACAGACTCTCCTTTTGCATCTTTGCACATCAATAGCTGAATGTCTTTTCAGCTTTACTCATATTGTTTCACTGAGAACAATGCTACACATATTTATCCTTAGCAATTCTTCTGAGACTGACGGCTTTTTTATCTGGAAGTCTCATCTTTCAGTGTTCATTTCATTTTGAATAGTCTCATCATAGAATTTTTAAGGTATAAAATATTAAGAAGTTATTTACCATTGCCTCCTTCTGTATAGTTTTAACAAGAGTAAGCTTGAGTGCCACTGCCCTTGTCTATGAAAGATCTTCCAGCAGTGTCATGTTCCACCGCTGCGGCTGCCCTGTAATGTATGTGCTAGTCTTGAGTGAATCAAACGTAACCTATAGGACAGCAGGGTCCCAGGCACCAAAACTGCAAGTTACATTGATGATATTGTACTTAACATAAATTTACCAACATTCATATCTAACAATTGTATATTAAATTTAAGATAAACATGTTAAAACATCAGCTATGAAGTGCAATGCTCCCTCTTTCTAGTGTGCCCTAAAAAATGCCGGAAGCAAAACTACCTGTAATGTATTAATGCAGTGTGTTAAACTACAGAAAACATGTAGGTATTCTCTCCTCTTCATTTTAAATGCCACAGTCTGTGCAAACCAAACACTAGTGACATCTGAACGAAAAATGGAGACCTTGTGCTCCTTCAGATGTTGCTGGACCAGCTGTTCTCAGCCCCAGCTGAGTTGAGTAGCCCACCACTGTCTGGATGACAACAGGTTCCCCACTTCTGATTTAACCTAGCCACTAGTGATTATATACATCTTTCTTGTACATTCACTACTAGAACATAGAACACTTGCCTATCCATATTTCATAGCTCTGGGAACAGGTGATTTTGGTGTGTGGCCATTCCATGTGCTGAGAGTAAGGAAGCACAAAACAGACTTTAGTGTGACTCCTTAAGGTAGAGTTGTCAAACTCAAAGGGAGTTTAGCCTGATCATGACAACACAAGAATAATATGCAGAACACAAGAATAATACGCAAACACAAATTTGTATCTTTGTCTTGTGGGTCTGAAGAGAAAACATTGCTGCTTCTACAAAAGCCAACTGTGTAAGCATACACAAAGTCCTCCTGAAAGTGCTTCCAGAACTTATTGGATATGTTAAAGGTGTCATAGGCTATATTGTAAGTCTCTTGTCCTTTTTTAAAAATAAAAAACGCATTATTTCAGTTGATGGCATTTCTTATGCAGTGTTTGTTTAGGGAATTTCTCAAGGGTCCTCACCATGAACTCTGAGATCAAAATCCCTCTGTTTCTCCCCCGCTGCGTTCACTGCAACACATGTATATTTCCCTGCATCGCTGATCTGTGCACTAATTAGTGCCAAAACACGACCTCCTGAAAGAATCTAAAATTGGGATAAGTGTCATAAGTCGAGTGATTGTAATTGACAAGCATGCTTATATTCCGCAGAACGTCTCTTCCACAAGACGGCTACCCATCCCACACACTTCTCACAGTCCTTGATGTTGTAACACCCAAGAAGGTCAAAGAACCTAATATGAAGAACTGAGCTTTCTCAGTTGTGGCCCTTTCCCTCTGGAATAAGCTTCTTGCAGAGGTTCATCAGGCACCATCCTTTTCTATTTATAAGAAGCTACTTAAGACTGAATTATATAAAGCTGTCTTCTACTAGTGTGAATATTATCCTTAGATGTTCAGATGGATTTTTATTTTTAAAAAAATAAAGGTAGCTTTAGATAGTTACTGGATTTATTGCATTTATTATACAGTGCTTTAGTGTATGACTTTATTGTATATTGTGAACTGCCCAGAAAGTGGCAACACTAATTCATATATATGGGGGGAAATGATTTAAAAACACTTGTCCCAACAAGTGTCATATATATGGGGGGAAATGATTTAAAAAGAAAGAACAAGAAGTCTTTAAAATGTGGGAGGATAACTGTGAATGTCACAAAAAATGCAATATGAAATCAATGCAATGTTGTTGTTTAATTCACACTTCTTCCTTGAATTGCGTGGATCTCAGCAGCACAGTTTTGGTTATACATGGATTTTTAAAAATAAATGAATAAATCAATATTTCCATAAATAAACATTCAACACATACTGTGCTACTGTTTGTCTCCAGGAAGTGGCCTGGGAAAGCTGAGTTTTGTACTTACTGAGGCCCCCGTTGTTGGCAGTGTGGTGGACCCCAGTCCAATGGTGGCCTGGCCATCCTGCTCCCCTAGTGTGCCAGCTCCATAAGGTAGCAGGGGAGGGTGCTCGGGCATGCCAGGAGACTGATGCAGGTTGTGAGAGCTCTCTCTCTCTCTCTCTCTCTCTCTCTCTCTCTCTGTGTGTGTATGAATCAACTGTTTATGCTTCATAGTTACATTTTGTGAGGCATAAGAGTTATAAATGGATTTTGAACTATACAGGCATCAAACGCGCAAACTCCAGTGTTGCTGAAGGGAGAAGTGCATTATTATTATTTATTCATTCAAATTTGTGCCAAACATTTCTAGTGACAAAAGAACTCATTTTATAAATTGGGTATTTCCCTAAAGCATACAATAATATGTTTTTTTTCCACATCCAATTTATTGCATGAAATCAGTTCTCATTGCTCTCATGATTATACTGTTAGCAAGGCAACAGTGCAACAATTCTTCTCCCAACCATGTTGTTGTTAAGGTAAGATTGCCTCTTGACCTCCTTAATGTGTTGCAGCATATTTGGTGTTGAAAGCAGAGAGTGACTCCCTTCCTATCTTCTAGAATGCTTGAGTGGGAGTGACTCAGGTCTTGGCCCCCAATACAATTAGCAAATAAAGAAAGTGGGAAATAGGTAAATGTTCTTTATCTGATTTGCAAAACCCTAGAAGTGACAACGTTTGTCTTGGATTGGAGGTGAGTGTTACAAGTTGCCAACTTTGACAGCATTGCTAACATGTCTTTAGAAATATTTCAGTGTTGTCTTATTTCATTCTATTTCGTTTTATTTTCTATAGTGCTCTTCAACTCATGGTTTATAGATGGCTTTTACTACAACGTTTATAGCATAGCTTATTCCTACCCTAAAATGGTTAGATTAAACATGATTAGTATAAATATAGCAGGATAAGCATAAATTAAGTGTTCAAATTAAGCAAGATTAGGCCAGATCAAATCCCCGTTTTCTTCCCATTGTCTTTATATAAATGTGGTTTTCCAAGTTCCAACTGCTGTGCCTCAAACGAAGGCGCAAGCAGAACAAAAGAACTCATTTTATAAATTGGGTATTTCCCTAAAGCATACAATAATATGTTTTTTTTCCACATCCAATTTATTGCATGAAATCAGTTCTCATTGCTCTCATGATTATACTGTTAGCAAGGCAACAGTGCAACAATTCTTCTCCCAACCATGTTGTTGTTAAGGTAAGATTGCCTCTTGACCTCCTTAATGTGTTGCAGCATATTTGGTGTTGAAAGCAGAGAGTGACTCCCTTCCTATCTTCTAGAATGCTTGAGTGGGAGTGACTCAGGTCTTGGCCCCCAATACAATTAGCAAATAAAGAAAGTGGGAAATAGGTAAATGCTCTTTATCTGATTTGCAAAACCCTAGAAGTGACAACGTTTGTCTTGGATTGGAGGTGAGTGTTACAAGTTGCCAACTTTGACAGCATCGCTAACATGTCTTTAGAAATATTTCAGTGTTGTCTTATTTCATTCTATTTCGTTTTATTTTCTATAGTGCTCTTCAACTCATGGTTTATAGATGGCTTTTACTACAACGTTTATAGCATAGCTTATTCCTACCCTAAAATGGTTAGATTAAACATGATTAGTATAAATATAGCAGGATAAGCATAAATTAAGTGTTCAGATTAAGCAAGATTAGGCCAGATCAAATCCCCGTTTTCTTCCCATTGTCTTTATATAAATGTGGTTTTCCAAGTTCTACAACTGCTGTGCCTCAAACAAAGGTGCAAGCAGATTTTTTTTTTTAATGGTAGAAACAGAGCAGAAAATGTCAAATAGCGTCAACAGGAAATTTATCTACTCCCATTTCCAGGGTGGGATTCAGGGAAGTCTCTTAACTATGCAAGGAGCCCCTATACATTAAACAAAGTACAGTTTATATTTTAAACAAATTAAAGTTGTCCTGTGAGAGATAATAGTTATTAAAAAGTAGCATCAAAGTACCTGGAGTCCATTGGCCAAACTAGAAACGGGGCTGCCGTCTTTGAGCCAAGTCAGAATGGGAAGAGGGATGCCGCGGGCTTCACATTCCAACCTTACTGGATTATTAACCACAACAGTTACCATTTCAGTCTCACCAGAAATGGAGGGTGGAACTTAAACAAAAAGAAATGAGAGAAAATGTATGTGTTTGGAGCAGATATACAGCTTTGGTCTATAAGTTTTCATTTGTGTATGCTTTTGAATTTTGTATGCACATACATTTTTTTTCCAAACTAGCTTCTCTCTCTCTCTCTCTCTCTCTCAGCTAAACATTATCTCCACATTCTTCTCTTTTCAGGACAACACTGAGAAATTTGCTAGTTTTGCACATTATTTACTAAACTTCTGGGTTTCCATTTAATTTTTATTAATTTTAATATTTTTTTGGATTTCAAGTTTTGTTTTTCCTCTTTAATTGTGCTATTTTTTTTCTTAAATCAGATACTATCAGTGATGCTAATTATTTTCCTGCAATTAATGACTGGTGCATAAACTAGAGTTGGACATGGCACCATCAATAACTCCCAGGAAAATGTATTAATCAAGGTCAGTATTGGTCAATTAATATTACGAAGAGCTGCAGACATTAATAGCTCAATAGAAGAATTTAGCCTTCACAAACCTGCACACAGTTTTTTTAGCACTAGAATTGCAGGCCTGTTTCTCAGAGAGGAGATGGAATTTGTGTAAAGACATATATCTAAGCCACAAGAACTCGAGATTTAAGGTCAAATTAGAGGATATTTTGGCATGTTTTCAGAACATATACTCCCTCAAAAGAGTCTGTTATAGCATGTGATTTTCCTCACATATGTATCTTGGCTTTAGCATATGTTGAATTCTGACTAGTTACAGACCACTTCTTGATCTGAGGAAGTGAACTTGTCCATGAAAGCTCACAGGTTAATCACAGAGAATACACATTCCCCTTAATGTTTTGTTTCACTCTTTAGTTCAATAGCTTATTTTATGATGGAAGCTTCTTTTCATATAAGACAATTCTTATGTCAGCATTGGTCACAGAAATTAACATGACAGTTGTACAAACATGACATACTCAACTGACCGCCAACCAGTTTTTCATAAAGTATATACATGCAAAATGTAGAAACAGTTTGTCCTATAAAGTAACAATTGTTAAAATCAATGTAAATTTAGACGAAGGAAGGAAGGAAGGAAGGAAGGAAGGAAGGAAGGAAGGAAGGATTTTGATAATGTGGCAAAAGAACTGAACAATGACCAGAAAGAATTAGTTTATAAAGTATGTGAGAATATGGGTTTTGTAGTACTTGTTTCCCAGGACTTGCAGGTGGTTCATCTCGGCCAGAGACCTACCTGTTATTGTGGAAGAAGAGCCAATGCCACATCTCAAGATTAATAAACATAACATTCCTTGCTAATGGCTTACCAGCCTGGGAACAAGAGACAGAGTGGTGGGAAGTTGGATGTAGATTTGTGAACAAAGGACTGTAATGCTGATTGGATACCATCATGAAGCAGAGCCTTTGATTTAAGTTATAGAAAGGAGAGATTAAGTGGGGGGTGTGCACATTGGAGAAGAGAAGTTGGATGACAGGTTTAAAGCCTTTGTTCATTGACTGGAAGATTTTAGCCATGGTGACTTAGAATAGCCTAGTCATTAAGAGTAAAACTATTAGCTAGTCAATCATTTTATTGTTTTGTGGGAAAGTCTTCCAGAAGCTTACTTAATACTTAGATGCTTGGCATTTAACCAGTAAAATTGTATCTTTTTGTATTCCTTTTATTTTATAACTTTTTGCTCCTTTTGAATAAGTATTTTATATTTGTGATTCTTGGGGTCAAGGGGGAAAGTGCCTAACCAAAGTGCCTTAGCCACAAGGGCTATGTTTGCTATTTTTTTGTTATTTGGGTGTCCTACCTGGTAAGGCTGGTGTATAAGGTTCAACATACACAGCTAAAGAGTTTTAAGCTTAAGTAAGTGAGCAATTGGAAATCTAGGGACAGACGCTTGCCCATGGTTGCCAGGCACAAACCTCCTAGGTCTCACCCAATCTAGAGAAAAGGTGGAAGGCATTCAGAACTACAGTTTTGGCTCCTCCCCCTAGTGGAATGGCTTCTCTAAGGAGACACTTTCCTGACATGGTGGTAGCGGGGAGATCTTTTGAGCTCTCACCCTTGGTGTTTTGTGTTTTGTTGTCTGTTTTTGGAGCTTGCCATGGTTTGCAATTAAAAGATAAAAAGGTTTGCCTTTTTAGAATTATACTGTTTTAAGATTAATGAGCATACTGGAAGCTTTCCTGGTTTGTTATTTTGTGTAGCGAGTTAGAGCAGCAATGAGATGGGCAGTGGATGATGAGTACTATGATCCACAAGAAGATATTGTGGGACATGATACTCCTTCTCAGGACTAAGTGGATTATGTGGTTGGAGATTATGGCAATTTGATTACTGTGGGGCAAACACAATTATTACAAAGTAAATTGGAGGAAGCTGTTGGAGGCACAGGACGTGGCCCAAAATGGAACAGCACACCCCCACACAGTCGGCTGGGAGCCTGGAGCAGGTGATGCAGGAGTTCCTGACCATGCAGACGAACAAAATGGAACAGCACACCCCCACACAGTCAGCTGGGAGACTGGAGCAGGTGATGCAGGAGTTCCTGAGCATGCAGACGAGGTGGATAAGGAATCAGGAGACCCATCAGGAGGAGAACCAGGAGTTGCTGAGATGCCAGGCTAAAGACCAGGCTGAGCAGCAGCAGGTTGTTTTACTTATCAACAAGAGACTTTTGCTGACATACTAAGTGCCTCAGGAAGGAAAGAAGGAAAGCCCAAAGAAGTCAGGCTTTCATAAATCTACCCAGAAGCCTAATTACACCCCAGCACATCCTTTTGCTGCCTCAGGAACTATTTCCAAACCTGTGGCTGCTAGCACCCCTTTTGTATCTTTTCATTGTGGGGTACATTTTGCTCACATTTAACTGGAGAAAAAAGTAAGCCTGTTAAGCCAGCCACTCTCCAACTCCAGCCAAAAATCAAAGTAATCAGTCAGGCCTCAAAAGTCAGGACAGGACAGATCAGCCGAAAGGAGAATGCCATGATGGACCAGGATTTCCTTACAGAAGGCAGTTCATCAGGAGATGAATGTTACTACCAAGCAGCAGATGTACCTACTACAGGCATGGGAGGAGTTAACAGCAAACTGGGAGGGGCTGAGGAGCACCAGCCACTGTATCTGTTTCTCACATTTACAACCAGTCAAAGGATGAGTGATCTGCTTCTTTTTTGGAGCAGCAATGGCCAAGCTGAGGAAAGATCCATAGGACTTCAAAGTTTTAAATCCAGGAGCAATCATATCTCAACAGGAGTTCACCTGGACAGCGCATTAAAAAAATAAATTTGTGACTCTTATAAAAGGGAATCAGGAGATTTATTTGACAACTGAAAAAGATACCGGTGTGGATCTTTCGTCAATACCTGAATCTTTAATTAATGCAGATCAGACAGTAAAAGGTGTTAAATTTCTAATACAATCTCATGACTATAGAAATACAGGGAAAACTCAGCAAGCTCCTCTGGTTAGAGTGACACTCAAGACTGGGAAGGAGTGTGACTTTTTTTGGTTCCTGACTCTCGTGATGCCCCATGCATTCTTTTGGGAAATGATATGTTATAGGAAAATTGGAAAGCACAAATGAGAGAAATGTTTGGAGTAAGAACTTGTAGCCAGGCAAGGTTAGCAGATACCCGGCCACAATTTCAATTTCGTGATAGAGACCAGTTTCTTGACGCTGCAGAGCCAGTACCCCGCTCTCAAAGCCAACCTGATTTACAATAGGTGGATGTGTCAGATTTACAACCTGAGCCTACTGAGCAATTAACTGAACCTATAAATCAGCCAGAAGGAGAGGAAAACACCACAGAACTTTCTGACCGCATACAGGAGTTAGTTGCCTTAAATGCCTCTGTTGAATTTAAGGAAGCTCAAAAGAATGATCCCAGTTTGCAAGCTCAGAGGGAGCAAGCTGATTCTAACCTGCCTTTAACTAAAGCAAAGCCAGTTCAATTCTGTTGGGATGCAAATGGACTGTTGTATAGACTGTCAGCTCAAGTCTAGATTGAATATAGTCCCAAGACGTCAACTGCTAGTTCCTCAAGTTTATAGAGAAAGAATACTGGAGTATGCCCATGATTCTATTTTTTCTGGACATTTGGGAATTAAGAAAACTTTGCAGATGGTTACTGATCCTTTTTATTGGTCTAATATGTCTAAGAGTGTGAGAACATTTTGTGTGAGTTGTCCTGTTTGTCAAAAAGTGGGACATGCTACAGACACTACTAAAGCTGAAATGCAAACTATGTCTGTGATTAATCCCCCTTTCCATACTTTGCAAATGGACACTGTTGATCCTCTACCACCTAGTAAGACTAGGAAAAATATGTTGCTTGTTTCATTTGTCCTGCAAGTAAATGGGGGAAAGCGGTTCCTTTGTTGTCCATCTCAGTTACCCAAGTTGCAAAAGCTTATTTGGAAGTGGCTTCTAGAATTGGTTTACCTTCTGTTTTGAGGTCAGATCAAGCTAGCAGTTTTTGTTAAGAATTGATGAAGAAAATTTGTGTATTGGAGGGCATCAAACAAAATTTTAGTGTAACCCATCACCCACAATCACATGGGTTGGTAGAAAGTGCACAGCAAACCTTGCAGAAAATGATTAAGGCTTATGCATTGGAGCATGAATGTTCTTGGGCTGAGACTTTGCCATATGTTTTGTGTGCTTATAGAACTGCCCCTCAAGATAGCCTCGGCAGATTTACTCCAAGTCAGATAATTTTCTCAAAAACACTAAGAAATCCGCTTGATCTCCTCAAGGAGGACTGGGAAGGTGTAATTCTAAATGCTTCTTTGCCAGTGGCACAGTATGTCTATGAGCTGCAAAAGAGACTTAGTCAGATTTAAAGCATAGCTAAGGAAAATATTGAATCTGCTCAAAAACAGGGAAAGTCCTTTCATGATGCTAAAGCCAGGCATAGAGAGTTCAATGTTGGGGACCTTGCATTGGTTCTGAACCCTCTGAAAACTGGTAAACTTCAGATTAACTGGCAAGGACCAGGAACAGTGATTTAGAAACTGGGAAATGTTAATTATGTGGTACAAATATCTGACAGAGAAAGGAAGCCTCAAGTTTATCATGCTAGCAGCCTTAAGTGTTATATTGAAAGATCTTCTGTAGTGCTGAGATACAATGCTGTCAAGGACTCAGAGAAAGATGGGATTGGTGATATGCTGACAGAATTTCAGAATGCTGGTGATTGGGAAGGAGGTGTATTTTAACTCAGAGGTTCCTGAAACTCAACAAGAGAGACTTTTAGACCTCATTCAATAGTACCAATCTGTTTTTTTCTAATAAACCTGGTAGCACCTCTTTAATTCAGCACAAAACGGATACTAAGGAACCCCCTTCCCCCCATACGCTCATCACCTTACCACAACAAGAGAGACTTTTAGACCTCATTCAACAGTACCAATCTGTTTTTTTAATAATAAACCTGGTAACACCTCTTTAATTCAGCACAAAACGGATTCTAAGGAACCCCCTCCCCCCATATGCTCATCACCTTACCGGAGCACATGCTGAGCAAATTGAAAAAGAGATAAATCTCATGCTCGAAATGGGTGTCATAGCTCCCAGCCAAAGTTCTTGGTCTAGCCCTGTTGTGCTTGTGCCAAAAGAGACTCCCCAAGGAGAAATTCAGAATGAAATTAGATATTGTGTGGACTATAGAAAAGTAAATGCTTTGACGGAACTTGATAATTATCCAATGCCAGGTAAATAAGTCTTCACCAACCACACAGTGAGATGGAATATAAATTTAAGTTAAGTAACTTTGCATGGAAAGAATGAAGGCGAGCATATGAGCCTGAAGCTTGTTCCAGCTCATGCAACTAATAACGAATCATACTTTGTCATTATGTCTAAATTAGGCCAAAGTGGTACAACTGGCCAATGGAAATATCAGTGTTGTTCAGTGGGGTTGAAGATAGTTCAAAAAGGCTGAAAGCAACTTAAACAATGACAAAAATGAATCAATTTGCTGAAATAACAACAGAAATATCTGTCATCCAGACATGACATTGCTTAATTCTATGAAGCAAAAACTTCAGAATTTCATGTTTTCTCCTTTTAATTTACATCAGTGATATAGAATCAAACCAGCTGCTTTTTCTTGAACCACCATGGGAAACTGATTTTAACTACTGGAAGGTACTAAGTGCACACAGTAAAATTTGAGAAGTTCAGGTGAAAGGCAGTGACCCATTCCCCTCCCAGTGCATTTTTCTTCTTCACCAGAAGTAAAATTTACCATGAACCTGAAGACTGTAGAACAGCTCAGCTACTCCTGCTGCATTTGCCACAACACACTTATAAATGCCACTGTCTGAGATCTGGGCAGTGTCTATTTGTACAACATGACCTCTGTTCAAGAACATGATGGTGGCTGTAGTGGTGAGAGGGTGGTTATCTTTGTACCATGTGACAGCTGCAAAGTGAAATAAGAGAGCACAAGTTATAAAAGCTGCCCAGAGGCAAGACAGACTATTCTTGGGTCATCAAGAAGCCTACAACACTTGAAAAGGATAAAAAGGGAATGATTTTTTTCTCTTGCTCCAGAAAAGGAGAAAGTTAGCAAAAGTTAACAATGAAATAAAATAAAATAACCTTCATACTATTCAACTCCAAACAAGCTCAACAAAAAAGAACAAACTGCCCAGGAGACAGCTTATTCGATCTAAGCCACCTAACCTTGCTTTCCTCATTGGGCTATTTGTTTATCTGTTCACAATTTCCAGAGGGCAGTCACATTCATCTACCATCTCTTAATTTGCTAAAAAATTCTTTGCTGATTATATTGTGGAGTATAACCCCTATGACAACCTATACCACTTACTACCATATACCATAATGACAGTTTCAAGGTATCAGCTAAAATTCCATCAAATTATTATTTAGCTGTTTGTACCATGGAATGATAGGATATTGAAGGCATTCTAGAGAATGATAGTTGGGAGTTCTAGTCCTGCTGCCCGTTAGGCTCTATAGATACCATCTCCTGAAGATCTCTGATTCCCAGGAAGCACTGACAGCAGCTCCCTTTTTTTTTAACATTAACAATAGGAAGTACAGGCCAGAAAAGGCCATGCAGCCTCAGAGTTAGACTCTTCTCTAAGTGAGCAACACGGTGGTGCTTATCTATGTGTTTGGGACTTGAAACACCCAGAGGTCTATATGGGGAACTCCATCAGGAGATAGAGTCTAAAGCAATGAAAGAGCATACTCATACACTAGAAGGGCAGCGTTAAACGAAGCCTTTTATGGAAACATGAGACATTACAGACTAAACATCACAGCTGAAACTTTTTGTTTCTGTCAATGCAGTCTCATCACAAATGCAACTGCTGAGTAATCAGTGGCACATCTATGTCCTACTCAGGCATGGCATCTGAAACCATGTCCAGGACTAAAACAGGTGATGTGGATGGGAAAGTGTGTATAAACTTTGTCCCACATCCCTCCCCATCTGAAAGTGATCAAGACCTTCAGGTGATGAACGCAAAGTTCTGAAGCACAGATCGTAAACATGTCCATTTAAGCACAGTTACATTGCTTGTATGATTATGGGTTTGCTTGACCAGTCAGCCATTTTGAAAACTGTGAATTGTGCTAAATAATTAATGTGACTGTACCTGGCAAAGGATTTCCAGATGCTTTGCACTCAAGCTGTATTGGGTTGTTCACAATCACTGTCTCATTTATCATTTTTCCTGCATCCTTCAGACTGGGAGGCTCTGGAAAAAAGTAGAAAATTATGCTGGACTATCAGTTCCTAAGCCATACAACACCCAGACTTTCTCTATGCTTATCAAATTTATTTGTGTTTAGCATGTTTCTGTGACACTGTGAACCCCATTACATTCACCAACACAGAAGCAAGGCTTCTGTGACACTGTCAGTGCAACTAAATGTTTCTCAAGATGCCAGTGGCGATTTCATAGAGACAGGCTCAGATACGACTAGTGGGGTGGCAACATATCTCTAACCACAGAGCCTTTGGAAAACTGCTGTGGTCTACTTTTTCTTGTTCATCTGGATGTTTCTGAAATTGTGATCTTCTACACAACACAAATTAGGAATGTATAGGCCAGAACTAGTAAAGTACATAAGAATGTTGAGGGACTTAAGTTACTATATTTTTCCAACAGCAGCTCTAACACACATGAAGTTGCACTCAGAGGAACTACACATCACCAAGGAAGTCCCCTGGACAGAATGATTATTTTTATAACGCTTTCTGGGTTTGTATAAGACTCAATTTTTTTTTAATCTGGCATATTCAGGATGCTAGATTAAAGCTCATCCACAAGCTCTCAAAATAAGCATTTCCTAACCTTACTGGAAATATATTTCAAAACCAATAAGCTATCTTACATTCCCGCCTTCTGCACAGTAGTAACAAAAGTTAATTTGAATGTCACTAACATTGTCCCTGAAAGATCTGCTTCATAGAAACATGGACTGTGGTCCAAGAAGCTACATGTTTACCATTCATACTACCTGCACAGCCAGTTGTTCACAAACTAAAGTTAATTTGAATGTCACTAACATTGTCTCTGAAAGATCTGCCTTCATGGAAACATGGACTGTGGTCCAAGAAGCCACATGTTTACCAGTCATACTACCTGCACAGCCAGTTGTTCAAAAATGGCTTAAAAAGCCATGCTAATCTTTTGAGATGTCTCCAATTTTTTTTTAATTGTAGGAATAGTTTGTGGCAATTACTTCAATATCTTGCTTTTAAGATAACACTTTCCATTCTTTGGCTGTTTCTACCCATGCATTCATCGTTTTTTATTGAAAAAATGTGCTCAACTTTCTCTTTCCTTTACTATTGTCTCTAGGATAGCTAGTCCCATTGTTCCTCTTTACCAAAATGAAGGTATTAGCAAAGGAAGTGAAGCATTTTTGGAGTTCACATTCTTGGGAAAGTCAGACTTCCAACAGATATCAGGGTACTTGAAGCAGCCAAGAATTCTGTGACTGATGTTTCCATTTCACAGGCCTACGATGATTATCCAAGGGAAAGGTCTTGTGTTGGTCCAAGAATATAATGCTCCTTGATAGTCCTGCTCCTCCGTGTCATATTCCACCAATTGCATGTCTCACCACTTGGTATTCTTCATCCTTAGAGCATTCTACCTCATTACTCTTCCAGGACACTCTACTTTGCTCATGAACCCTATTCTCAAGTTAGCACCAACAAGCTCCCAAGGAGTATTAGTACAGCTACAGATATGGCAGCTGCTAGCTCTAGTCACAAAAATCATTCTGAGAATCATATCATATAAGGGAAATGAACTCAGATAGTCCTAGTCCAAAAGAACACAGGGATTAAGCTAAAACATGCTGCCCTTCCTCTTATGTGATGGCCTTCTAATACATCTGCAACCATCCAAAAGATGCTTGTATCAATCAAATAAACATAAATTCTCAAAATTCTCTCTAAATCCCCAGATTCACAGCAACCCAATTTTTCACAATACTGGAGACTCAGCTTCAAAGCTAATGCTCACAGAAGTGACAAAGATGAAAGGTTCTGTCTTAGACTTGGGGATGAATAAAGAAACAAATTGCAATATTCATCAGAAATCTCTGCTTCATGTAATACTCATCACTTTGTATTCGTCAATTCTGGAGGCTCTGATAAATATAAAATAATGAATATTTACCCCTTTTCTTCGTCCCTTTGTTGGGCCTGGGCCCAAAGAGCAAGCTAGGCTGCTGGAACAGCTGTTCAAGGAGCCTATTTTGCTCTCTCTGCCTATAGGCCCACCGAACAGCTGTTCGGCAGGCGCTCTCTCTCTCTGTTTGAGCAGCCTAGTTTGCTCTCTCTACCCACACAGTCCATGACCTGCCCCCTTCCCACTGCCACCCGTTGCCTTCCTACCTTGTCCTGTCACCACTGCTAGAAAGGAAACCACCGTTCTGGAGGGCTAGCCTGATTTTTTTTTTCTGAGAGCACCAATCAACTGATTGGCACCTCTAGTGGCAGAGAGACTGTGCTGGCACAGTTCTGCCCGGCTAGCCTGATCTCTCTTCCTACAGGCCAGTTCCATAGGCAGAGAGAGCAGGCTAGGCATCCGGAACTGTGCCAGTGGGCCAGCCTGATTTTTCTGCCTCTGTTGGTGCCCACAGAAGCAGAGAGAGATTAATGGCATGATTCTGCCCGGCTGCCTATGGGCTTGGCTGGTCGGCACCGGCAGAGACAGAGAAAGCATGCTTGCCTGCTGGAACCACAGCTTCCATTCCAGTGCCACTGCTGCCGCCACTGTCAGGCCATGGTAAGAAGGCAAAAGGGGGTAGTGGGAAGGGATGGGGAGCAGAGGGCTCATCCTTTTAGACAGGCTATCTAAAAAAACCCCAACAAGAAGGGATGGGGAGCAGAGGGCTCATCCTTTGACAGGCTATCTAAAAAAAAAAACAAACCCAACAAACAGACAAATCAATTTGTGGTTCATCAAAAATTCCTGGGGAAATTCATTGGTCATGGATTATCTCCATCTCTAGCCACTCAAAACATACTGGAGATATTAAATGGTAAAACAAATATATGAGATGTTGGCCAAACAGTAAGAATTGTACAAGGAAAAGGGCACATGTATGCATGTGATTAGCACAACTGATGGGCTACAAGAAGCTACCAGTTAGAATCAGGAAAGCTTATTACCATACACATGGAGCTGGACATGCTCTTGGGCTTCCCCAGCTGCATTTGTTGCTACACAGGTATATCTGCCAGCATCTTCCATGAGGACCTTGTCCAACTGCAGAATGCGTCCTGAAGATTCCAGCTGCTCCAGAACCAGATTTTTAAAAGAAAGAGAGGGGGGAAAGCAAGACACACATTTGAAAGGAGGGATATAGCCACTCAGCTTTCCAACAGAATAATTTATGAAAAGGTAGTTTTTTCCCTGCAGCCTACAAAATATTTATGCATAGTTACTGTTTCAAATTTTGGCTCAAACCCCCCAAAAATGCTATTATTAAAAATTGTTTTACCAGTTAGGGTAAAACTGGTACCATGAAAACTGGTACTTCATTTCCATGCGTTGTTTGAGCTACATAATCAGGTATCTTTAAATCTTTAAGAAAAATCTTTAAAATAAATCTTGGATTGTTGTGAATATATAGTTGTTTCCCAATCTTTAAATTTCAGCTCCTGACTCAGGCTTATAACTATGGATCAGAGTTGAGAACCTTATTCAACCCAAAGGTTAAATGGTCTCTGGAGAAGCAAGTCAGAGTTTGCATGCTGACAGGTCCATGACCAGCATAGGTGGGGACATCCTTCCGCTGATATCCTTTCCCTAACATTACTTTCCAGACCTTACTTGTTGCCTCTCTTTCTGTTTCTCTTGCACAGAGCCCCTCCCCTGCTACAATCCAGATTCTTAAAAGCTTCCATTAATGCCAAGGCAGTATTTTTAAAAGCCTCACTGCAACAGGGGAGGGTTGCTTTTTTAAAGAAGGAAGTTGCAGCATTGGGGGAGGAGAGGATGAGCCCTTTGGGCCTCCATAGAAACAATCAAAGTTTATTTTAGTCCCCGCTCCCATGCTACAATTAGTTATTAAAATCCTCTGTTGGCACCAGTGGATGCTTTCCAAAAGCCTCATGGCAGTGTAGGAGGGATAAAGACTAAAAAGAAAGACTGTGTGTGCAACTAGACAGTGAAGTTATTCTGGGCTGAATCAGGCTAAAGGGTTACTTGAAAGTGCAGCCTGACATTAAGAATGGCCCTTGCATTCACAAGCAAGGATTGGGCAGTTTCAGGACAGGTAACTACACTGCACCTCAAAGTGAACCTCTTTAGCTCATTCTTGCCTTCAGATCACTGCCTCTGCTCTTGCCTCCCCCTTCCATGGGGAGTGGGAAAAACAGGAATATATATATATTTCATTTTTATACTGCCCGTCTGACAAATGGTCACTCTGGGCAGTTCACAGACAATAACAAAAATAAGAACAAATGTGACAAAATCAGGTGCATTAAATTAAATTAACCAATTAACAAATTACAAATTAACAAAAAAAACAGGTAAGTGATATGCTGCGAAATTGCCATGACATCCAAGTGACATAGCACTAGAATCTAAAGAAAGAGAAAAGAAAGGAAAAAAGTTATTTATTGTGCACTGAGTTGCCCAACTCACTATGCAACAATGTCTATGCTGATCTTCTAAATGAAGGGAAGGGAAAGTTTGATTCCACTATTCTCCTGCAAAGTTCCATGTAACTTGAAAGCATGTAACACAATGGTTTCTGCCACTAGAAGTCTGTTTCGTCATTGTACCTCTTCCATACGTTTGGTTCCCTACAATCAACACAGCAAGAGGAATGCATATTTTAAAATGTGGCCCATTGAAATCTCAGTACTAACCCCAATATTTTCTCTAGCTGTGTTTATGGGCTGGCTGTCTTTCAACCATGTAATAGATGGGATGGGTATACCATTGGCTATGCACTGCAAGGTTAGTGGTTTGTGCATCACCACAGATCTCTCAGGTGGTCCAGTTGACTTGATTGTTGGAGGCACTATAAAAATCAACAGAGAATTTTATGCAGAGCTTGTAGAAATAAAATACTGTCCCACAAAACATTCAAATTAATAATTCATTTTATTCCATTTCCTTTCAATCTCATCTCTCCTAATGCAAGGACCACAAAGATTTCTTGTGAACCACATAGACAGCATAGTTGTCGATGAAAATAATCTCTGTTCATGATTACATTATTTGGTCAAACAAAATAATACATTAATCATGAAGGTGCCACTGAAAATGTCAACTGTAACACAATAGTCTATTACTTAATTTCACTGCCAACAATGACAAAAGTAGTCAGAATTCCATTGGGATCACAGATTGCAGAAGAGCAATCATGCAATGATCACACAACTGATTGCATGTGCAGTTGTACAACTGCTTGCATGACTGCTGTCATGTTCACAGTAACACCAATAGAATTTTGACCTATGGGTTTAAGTCCATCTCCTGAAATGCCATATGATCTCGGACAAAATCCATGCTACAATATCAAAACAGTGTGTTTCCCTGCTATGGCTCCATGTCATTGACTGCTACTGATGGGGAAACTTGCAGTTTCATAACATTCAGGCACAGCTGTGTTGCACTGCACATTGCAGGAAGAAGTGGTAAAGGATGGACTAGAAATATGTGGACCTCCACATGTTGTTTGAACTGCATCAGCTGACATCCTGCATCACTGGCTATCCTGGCTAGGGCTGATGGGAACTAATGTTCATACATTCTCCACTCCAGAGGCAGTCTTCATGTCTCTTGTGGGGTGAAATCAGGTGCATCATCAAAACAAAGCACAATAGTGTGTCAGCCATACAATCCCCTCCAATATCTCAGCAATCCAAGTGCATATTAAGTCAGTGCTTAGCTCTTGATGACCAAACGAAACTAATCTGCAAACTAAGAGAGCTTGCAGGGTTAGAATCAGACAGTTTTTCGAAGAATTGTCACTTCTAGCAACCAACAGTAGAAGTTCCTCTGAAAAAAAAAGACTGAAAATATTCAGAGCAATGATTTGGCAAACAAATTCAGCAGCAAAAAATGGTGCAGCAGAATTTACTTGGTAAATTCTGGGTAATTAAAATAATAAAATTCTGTTCCAGTATATTAAGTAAAAAGCCACAACATATTTAAGAGACATTGATTAGAAATGGATGAAAAATATATGGACAGATGGAGAAGGGGAGAGAGAGAAGCCACCCTACACAGCCACCCATTTTCTTTTATGGAAATATAACGCACCATGCACAGTAACTTCAAATTCCTTTTTGTTTTCACCCGCCTTGTTTGTTGCTACACACTGGTAATGACCAGTGTCTGATACTTCAGCTCGTGAGATGACAAGTCTGTGTCCATTCAGTAAGAACTTGTATCCAACTCCCCCTTCAATAGGCAGGCCATTTTTAAACCACCTAGGAAATGGAAAGTAGATTGTGAAAATAACACATTCTTATAAGCTGGGGTTACATCTGATAATACATTTCTCTTCTAAGAAATTGCAGAAATGGAGACTCGGAGTCTGAGACCTGGTTTACTGAAACACCTCGGACTGTGTAGTCAGGTTTCAGCATTGTCTTCAGATGCAGGAAGTAACATGGTAATCTACTCCAGTCCCGTGAGAGTGGGAAGAAGGTTTTGTGTTTATAAAAAAGGGATACACAAAAAAATTGGAGTTTTTCTCTGACTTCTTTCATGTAACCTTATGGTGCCCTTTCACCCACTGTCTGCCATCAAATGGCCTGAGGCATTCTCCATCCCACAGCACTTCCAGGGCAGTGAGCAGTCAATCAGAACATCCAGTGGAATTTTGACTCTGTAAAAGGGCCTAGAACCCTGTGAGAAGGAATACTGCTCGTTTCAGTTGCTCTTTGTAGAATCATCACATGCTGAGCTCTCAGTGCCCTCCACTTTGGATTGCTGCCCGTGGCCTGCTGTCTGCTTGCCTACCGGCTATACTTCCATCTTGGATCCTTTCCTCTTTTTTGTTCTTTTTTTTCTTTGATTTTTTTTCAGGCTTTCCCCATTTCTAGATTTTTTTTTTCTCCTGCTGCCAGGCAACCTGTTTGTGCCAGCATATCTATTTGGGATTTATTTTTTTAAATCCCCACCCCACCCCCAATTTCTTCGGAGATATTTTTTTTCCACAAATAGAAGTATCTGGAAGTATACAAACTTCAAGGGTCAGGTAAGACCAATGTCATGCCTGTACTCCACACTAGGGATCACAACCTTGGCATTTCCCTTTGATATGTGATCATGAAAGATCCTAAAAAACATTTCAGTGGTTACAGCATTACACACCTTTCTGAAAGCAAGATTAAGTTATGCATTCACACCAAGAAGCTCTCACTGTTGTTGAGATGTTTCAAGAAAGGGCTGGAGGAACTCATGGGTGTGCACCAACACTTGATTGCAACAATCAGAGGCAAGTATGTTTAGGTGGATGTGAATATTTTATATCCACAGTGGCACGAACAAAGCATCCATGTATATATTATGATTGGATTTGAATTATGATTTATGGGGAAAGGTTTTATGTTTTACTGCTTTTAGACAATTGCAATAAAAATATTTTAAAAGAAATTGAAAAAAAAACTAGAAGATAAACCTTTTTCCTGGAATTAGACTCAACACTGACGTACCTGGTACAGAGCTTATAGCTGTAACAAGTATCTGCAGTAGGGACAAAATGTATCTACAATGATGCCACAAGATGTTACATTGGGAAGCCATGGGAAGAGTGAGGAACTAGTGCTAGGCCAAAGATTCTCAGAAGACTTATTTTGTTTTATTGTAGTGAATCATTCTGAATTTTTTCTTACTCTTGTTGTTCTTATCTGCCATCAAGTCAATTCTAAAGCTCTCCTCCAGCACCTCATTTCAATGAATCTCTTTTTTCCCCCTGTCAGTTTCCTTAACTGTCCATGCATGGTGATCTCCCTCTTATTCCTCTCGAAATAGATTCTATTTTGCAAAATTATTTCCAAAAGTTCTCTATCCTTCCCCCCCATGTTGCTGCCTCCTTGCTATCACCACCACAAATCCCTAGAATTTCACAATGTATAGGGCACTGTGGAGGAAGTGCAATGTGGGCCAGATTGCCAGCCAAGTTATTGTTGTTATCACATGGAGTGGCAGTGCAGGAAAAAAAAATCATTAGAGGAAAAAAGAGCAAAGTTATGTTACAGCCAGTTCGTCCCAACTCTGAGAAATTGCTGGAAAATTACTTCTCCAAAGAGATTTGAAATGTCCCCACAATTCCTCTGTCTATATATGGGGAAGATGATTTCAAAAAGTCTTTTCTGCACACCTATACTATAATTGGAAGGAGCCTGCTCATCTCCCTTTGTCTGGAAAACAGAGTGCAGTACTACATGTTATATAATAGGCCTTAGGTTCCAGATTACGCATGTTTTCCACTTTCTTTTCCATAGTACTGATTTCAGGCACCTTGCATTAAACAAAATGTTTCCCAGTTGTAAACCTGGATGACATCACTGGAAGAGCCAGCTTGGTCCTCGCTTGGCATAACCAGCTCTTATTTCTCAAGCAACCAAGTTCTGTCTTGGTTAGGTAAGAAAGTATGGGGAAGTATCCCATCATAAAAAAGTGGAAACAAAGAAAAAGAAAGGAATTGGAAGAAAACTGAAAGAGGGGAGGGAGGAAAATGGTGAGTGGAAACTAGAACTGGAAGAAAAGATGAACTGCACCCACACCACAGCTTCCTCCTAATATCAGGTGTTTGATCAGAGGCACCACAGAGCCTTGTCTCATGGTGAGAGGCAAAACTAGTTTTTCCTTAGTATATATTTCCCTCTGAGAGGACAAAGACAGAGAGTAGCAGCTGAAAGATTGATCAAGGGGGTGCCCCACTCTAATATTTTAATATACTGCGCTTTGGTCCATGAGCTACCTGTGAACTTATCTCCTTTTAAATAATGACGTGTACCACCAAGACAATTCTGGCTAATAACAACCCTTTTTAGGGTTTTCTAAGTAGAGAGTACTCAAAGGTTTCCTAGGTAGAAACATACAGAAGTGGTTTACCATTCCCTTCTTCTGGGAAGACTCTGGCACTGTACAGCTTGTACAAGGCCACACAGGCTGGGGTTTTTTAATACACAGAAGGGAATTGAACTCCCAGTCTCTGGCTTCACAGACAGATGACTACCCACTGAGCTAACCTCACCACCTAAAGGGGGGCTGGGAAAGGGAACACGCCATTATTTTAAAGGTAGAGGCAGAAAACCTACAGAACCCCTTTTCTTACATCTAGAAAAATATATGTAGCTGAATAACCAATACAAAACACAACCCACTTAGGGTTAATTGAAGCTTTCATCATCCAACATAGATCTAAAGCAGCAAAGAGTCCTGAAGTGCATTAAAAACTGACAGGTTTTTATGTGTCACCACATCAGATGCTTGTAGTACAAGACGGCTTGCCTCTTGAAATTATTATTTTTAACTAGCCAGCCCACTCTAAACAAAGTAATTGGGTTAACACTGCAATTCGACCACTGCATTTCTACCACTAACCACAAAAGAAAAGAGGCACCCCCAGGAGAAGCAGCAGCAGAACAATAATAAAAGTGCTATCACCCACCACACCACCACTCTCTCTCTTTTTTTGCCTGTCATTGAATGTTGCTACTTTTAATATTCACTTCATGCCAAATTTCATATGAGAGCAACTTGGGCAATATCTGTTTATTTATTTGACTATAGCCTCTTACATGATTTTTGGCAGCGGTGATCCTGTCGCTGGGCAGTCCAGCTCTAGGGGGCTGTGGAGAATCACAATGTGGTCTGAAGAATCATTTCCCCCTTCCACACTAGGTGGGACTGGAAAAAAAGAATGCAAAGCAGAATGCACTAATTTATTGGAAATGAACATTTGAAATACCTTTTTGAGCTTCTCCCTTTTTTAAGTGGTGGGAGGTTTCCTTAGACAAGAAATAATGTGGGACTTAACAATGTCTGTAATAATCAATGTATTTACAAGCTGAAAAGCAAATGCAGAAGTAGTTTCAAAATAGATTTGATCCACAACTTTAAAACCTTAAACTAAATACTTCATTAAATCCCAAATCTGCTACTTGTCACCTGGTCAGCTGCCTCAACATACGCCTTTTACACTTGGGTGGACAAATCTGCTTCACTATCCCAGAAGCCTGCAGATGGATGTGATTCCAGTGATACATTCTAAGACAGCATTTGACATTAAAATGCCAGGAATTGTTTATTTAAGGTAGTCTTGGGTCTATCTCCCCCCGCTAGCATTAAAAAACAACCTTTCCTATACAGTGGTGCCTTGCTTAACAATGATAATCCATTCCAGGAAAATCGCTGTTAAGCAAAAACATCGTAAAGCGAAATTTAAAAGCCCACTGAAACGCATTCAAACTGTTCAATGTGTTCCAATGGGCTAAAAACTCACCGTCCAGTGAAGATCCTCCATTTGGTGGCCATTTTCGATACCTGTATAGCAAGGAATCCATCCCTAAGCACAGCGGGGAGCCATTTTAAGCACCCGGTGGCCATTTTGAAAACCCAACGATCAGCTGTTTTTTATCGTCGTAAAGCGAAAATCGGTTCCCGAAGCAGGGAACTGATCATCGCTAAGTGAAATTCCCCCATTTAGACCATCGTTTTGCGATCGCAATTGCAATCACAAAAACATCGTCATAAAGCGGATTCTTCCTAATGCAGGGCAATCATTAAGCGGGGCACGACTGTATTCCTTGCCTTCAAGATTCTATACAATGGGAACACATGTTTTAACACAGACTAAATAAAACAGCTGACATTCTCTCTTTTTACCCACCTAGGATTTCCACATCATATTTGATTTCCTTTTCTCCTGCTATGCTGGTGGCCACACATACATACTGTCCAAGGTCAGTCTCTCCAGCTTTCAGGATTTCCAGCTTCCTTCCACCAGACACAATGTGGAGATTGTCACTGGCTTTCACAGGAATTCCATCCTTTAGCCAAGTCAATAGGGGAGGTGGGTTGCCAGCTGCATTACACTCCAACACCAGCGAACTGCCAGCAACCACTTGTTTGTTCTGGATTGTTTCAGAGTCACCCTCAATAACTGGAGGGACTGGAAGAAAACAGAAAGGAAGAAAGACAGTTTTTGAAACCAGAAATATTATTATTGAAATGTATAAATATGATCTCCCACCACATAATGCAGCCTACAGGGAATATGCTTGAATGTCCAACATTCAAATTTAACATGAAACCTGGTGCTTCCGGATGTCCTCCTTCATATAAAAAAAAATTATGGGGGCAGGGAGTTCGGAGATTCTCATGCATTCCAAATTGTAATTTTTCTCTGTTTTCCCAACTTTTTCTTCCATTATTCTTTCTAAAGCAACTCCCCTAAGGAAGAACAGATGAGTAGGTGTGCAACATAATTTAACTGGTAGCACTAGGAGTGCATCATCTGGAAGCATCCATTTTTTTAAGAGCAGAAGTTTATAGCTGTTCAAGAGCATATGTAAATCAATGTACTTAAAGGCAGCAATGCTGAAAATGGATTATGTAGGGGAAATAATTTAAAAAGAATATGTTTCTTTTTCTCCACTAGCAAAATACTGTTATTTAAGGGAAGAATGCTGAACAGGTGCATTATTTTGAGCTATTCTTTATAGATTTTCCTTAAGTAGTCACCAAGGGCAGTCACTAGATATGGCCAATCTAGGTATCAAAATGGCAAACCTGAAGTTTCTTCCCAGATTTATATAAAGTCAGGAAGCGATGTTTTAAAGCACAATATGGTTGAGAAGCAGATGTGAGATGTGGTTGAACCCCTATGCATACTTTCTCTCAATGATATTTGCTAAGGCCTGAGGTAATCCCAACTAGGAATGAAAAGGTAAGAGTGAAATGGTTTCAGAAGAAAATTGCAGGCATGTGAGGGGGGAATTTAACATTCCTTTGCCTCACACCTTTGCTGTATCTCATACTATTTGTCTCCAACCTGTACCAGATGAAAGTCTGTGGCAATAAGGTACCAAAGAACATATTCAAGTGAAAAAGTAGCTATTTTCCTTTTGTCAGGCCCAAAAGCAGTTAGGGTATCCATATCAGCTTCCAGATTTGTTGACTGCACCTGTTTAAGAAGTGATAATAGCCAAACAAATAATACATTACACTTCATCTCCTCTTACCATAAACATCCACTTGGAATAGCTTTTCAGCAGTTCCAGCTACGTTAGTTGCTTTACAGGTGTATTTAGCAGAATCGGAGACTTGAGCATGAGGAATCTGAAGGAACTGCCCTCTTTCCAGGTAAAGGGCTTGGGTATTGGAAGTGATGGGGTGTCCATTTTTATACCATGTTATTGTAGGAGCTGGGATTCCCCTTGTCTCACACTCTAGCTTTATTATGCTGTTCAGCAATGCTGAGACTTCTATGGTAACATTTCCTCCTTTAACTGCAGGTGGGACTGTTTGTAGGGAAGGAAAAGAGAAACACACTGTAATCTATGATGGAAAGATGGAAGAGAAAGCCAGTGCCTGATTATAACATGAACTGTAAAATGTCCCCTGTAGAGATATTTTTTGTTATACCACCAAAAGAGCAAAATAAAACATAGTGTGCAGTGTTGTGAAGAAAAATATTTTAAAAATTTTTTAACTGTACTTTAATTGGCTGCTCATCTAGAGGTTGGAAGTTTGATTCCACATTGTGCCTCCTGGGAGAAAAGGCAGCCTATATAGTTATAGTCAAGCTGCACAGTCCCAGAATGCCCCCAGAAGAAGGGAATGGTAAACCACTTCTGTGTGTTCTCTACCTAAGAAACCCTAAAAAGAGTCACCCTAAATTGGAATTCACTTGACAACACACAATTATTATTATTATTATAGTGTCCCTCGCTGCTGCTGCTGCTGCTGCTGTTGTTGTTGTTGTTGTTGTCCCTCATAACTTGGGGTTAGCCTGCATGGACTTCCTTAACCTAGTGTTATCCAGACATACTGGACTCCACCTTTCCTCATCTCATCAGCTGTGTTAGCTTTTGTCAATGAGATTTATAGTCCAATACCTCTGGATTACACACTAGATAAAGACTCATTTGCATAAATAGCAGATCATGTGGCAAAATTCTTTCTGAATCTCCCAGAAATGCTAGTTTTATACATGCTGTGAATAGAGAATATTTAATAATAATGTGATTTCTACCATCTGCCTTCTTGAGTGATGCTATCTAAAAAGAGTTTCACTTTATTATCTGTAGATGTAAATTGGGTCCTAATGGGGAAACCAAACTGATTACATGATGGCAACTGCTCTTAACCTCCAGATGAAGCTGCTTCCTATGATTTTACTGATGTATACTTAAACAGATAATATCTAAACCAGAGACTCTTTCAACAGATAAACTGAAGTATGCAATATTTTAAAAAATTAACCAGTATTTTAGTTTCCAATTGTTTCATTTTGTTTATTAACCATCATTTCTGGTTCTTTATGGTCTTCTTTTTGCTAATGGTTTCAGCTGATTATGAATGTGCTTCATTATTATTATTATTATTATTATGCTTCCTAGATTTTCTAAATCTTTCCTTTTTTGGTGGTGGAATACCTATGCCATACACCCAAATTTAAACTATTCAACAGCCCTTAATCCAAATATTATTTTGGTAAGAGACCAATACGTATGTACATGTTGGCTGAAAACTTCTTGCATAACTACACAGGCCTAAATGGTAATGATGTTTCCAGCCCACAGCATTAATCTTGAATTTAATATACATTAAAAGTTTCCTATCTCCCCACTCAGGTTTTGAGGGTTCTTTTTGATCTGGAGAAGCTTTGTGGAGCCTTTATTTATTTATTTGATTTATATCCCGCCCATCTGGTCTGGTCGACCACTCTGGGCGGCTTCCAATAAGGTGTATATGATAAAACATAAGGATTTTACAAACAGTCCATAACACATACAATAATAAAAAAATAATAAATGAAAGAAAAAATAAAGAAAGAATTAAATATTGACAGGAGGGAAGGCCTGAACATACAACCATGTTTTTAGTTGACTCTTAAAAGTGCCCAGCGTAGGGGCCGCAGGAATCACTGGAGGAAGGTTATTCCAGAGGCGAGGGGCCACCGCCAAGAAGGCCCGGTTTCGTGTCCTTTCCTTCCGGGCCTCCCTCGGCGTTAGGCTCCTCAGTCTCAGATCC